CAGCTCTGTGCATGTGCACACTGGGAACAGGCTCCAGCTGTTCTTCTGCCTTGCTGATCTCCGACTCTGAAGGCAGCTGATAACTGTGGGACGGCCCTGGCCCCATCTCTGCCTCCGACGCAGAGCCCTTGTCCGAGCCTTCCCCAGACCCTTCATCTAGCAGCTCTGTGCATGTGCACACTGGGAACAGGCTCCAGCTGTTCTTCTTCCCCACTGAGGTCCGACTCCGAAGGCAGCTAATTGTCGGATGGCCCTGGCCCCATCTCTGCCTCCAACGCAGAGCCCTCGTCTGATCCTTCCCCAGACCCTTCATCTAGCAGCTCTGTGCATGTGCACACTGGGAACAGGCTCCAGCTAATCTCATTAGACTAAGACAGGATAAACCTTTGACACAAACACCCCCCGCCCCAAACAGGTTTTATTTGAAGACTAGACCAGGTAAGGGGTACCTGAACCAGGTTGGGTCACCTGGTTTTTAATCTCCAGCGCTTCGACCCACCTCCTCCTCGGTTGTCCCTGCAGCCACTCACCTGCGTTGAGCAACAACTTGGCGCAATCCAGGTGTTCTCGCGCACAGGCCACGTGCAACGGCGTTCCAAAATGGCAGTCATGGGCCTCGAGGTTCGCACCGACGTCAATGAGGAGACGGACACACGCGGCGCTGCCTTAGAAACAGAGGGAGGGTCAAGGCGGACCGGTCATTCTCGGAGGCTTTTGCCAATCCCCTGCTGGATTCTGAAGAGCGACGGCTAACAATGTCTTCCAGCCAACGTCCAGGAAGCCCGTTCTGATTCGGTTCAATCAGAAACGCAGCTGGGAGGGACCTTGGAGGTCTTCTAGTCCAGCCTCCTTCTCAAGCAGGAGACCATTCCAGACAACTGGTGGTCCAACCTCTTCTTGAAAAGTACTCGTGTTGGAGCATCCACAACTTTTGGAGACAAGCTGCTCCTTCCCTCCTTCCTTCTCCTTTCTCTTCTTTACTTCCTTTTGTCCTTTCCTTTTCCTTCCTTCCTCTTATCAATCTCTCCTTCCTTCCTTCTCCTTTCTCTTCCTTCCTCTTGTCTATTTCTCTCTCCTTCCTTCCTTCTTTCCTTCCTTCCTTCCTCTTGTCCTTTCCTTTTCCTTCATTTTGTCTATTTCTCTCCTTCCTTCCTTCCTTCCTCTTGTCCTTGCCTTTTCCTTCCTATTGTCTATTTCTCTCTCCTTCCTTCCTTCCTTCCTTCCTCTTGTCCTTTCCTTTTCCTTACTTTTGTCTATTTCTCCCTTCCTTCCTTCCTTCCTTCCTTCCTTCCTTCCT